CTAGTGGGGACGGTTGGTAAACAAAATTATAAAAAATAACTTTAAAAAAATAAGGCATCTAGTAGAGACACTGTGGTAAAAGAAAATGTGTCATTAAAAAAAAAAAAGATGATCTAGAGGAGACAGTTATTTATTATTTTTTTAAAAGGTAAAAAAAAAAGGCATCTAGTGGAGATGATGGGTACATGTTATTAAAAAAAATAAGGCATTTGTAGGAGGTGGTAGGTAAAAGTAAAATAAATGTTTTTAAAAAAAAAGGCATCTTGTGGAGACTGTTGGTAAAAAAATAGTTTAAAAAAAAAGAAGTTTAGTGGAGATGGTTTGTAAAAAGAAATATTATTTAAAAAAATAAGGCATCTGGCGGAGACGGTTGGTAAAAAAGAAACTAATCCCAGCAGCTGGTGCAGACAGTTTTCTTTCAAGATGTGTACACAAGAAACCATCAAGTAATATTATTATTAATATGTACGTCTTGTTGACCTGTTCAAGAGAAGGAACTCACGTAATATATTTTATCATAATATTAACAGGTATTGTTGTTTCCCTTAACAAAACATTAATTGTCAAAGACAAAAAATATTATTTTAAATTTAAGGCAACTGGTGGAGACAGTCGGTTAAAAAGAAATATTTTATATTACAAAGTAAGGCAGCTAGTAGAGATGGTTGGCAAAAAATAAATATAATTAAAAAAATAAGGCATCTAATGGAGACTTTTGATTTTAAAAAAATTGTTTAATAAATAAGTGGGGATGGCTTGTGAAAAAAACCAACATTATTATTTTAAAAAATAAGGCATCTAATGGAGACGGTTGGTAACAAAAAAAATATTATGTTGTTTTAAAAAGTAAGGCACTAAGCTGAAGAAAATAGGGAGCATTAGAAAATATCTACATGCATCTGTTTGTGTCACCAAAAGTTTAATAACATCACTTATATTGTCAAGGATTGATTATTGCAATTCCTTAATGGCTGGTGTACCTGATGAACAGTTACAACAACTACAAAAAGTACAAAATATCGCTGCCAAAATAATTACTAAGAAACTAAAGCATGATCATGTGACTCCTATTTTAAAAGCATTACACTGACTCCCAGTGAAAGAGCGTATCATATATAAAATCTGTTTAACTTGCTACAAGTGCTTAAATGATTTATCACCGGACTATCTAAAACAGCTTTTAACACCCTATGTGCCTCCTAGAACGCTCAGATCATCAAGTGATAAAACAACCCTTGTTAAGCCTAAAATAAAGTACAAATCATATGGCCAACGCTCTTTTTCATATTTTGCCCCACTTGTTTGGAATAGGCTTCCAAAAACTATCAGAGAAGCAGAAAATCTAGAAATTTTTAAGAAGAAACTAAAAGCATTTCTATTTTCATCATATTTCGATTAGACAGAATCCATCTAAGCTGTAGATCGTTGTGAGTTTGTTTGTATGTGCGTAAGTGCATGTGTACGTACGTGTGTATGTGTGTATGTATGTGTGTGTGATGCTTGCGTGAGTGAATATGTGTTTGCACGAGTATGTAACACTATGTACCTTTAAAATTGATTTGTAAATCTATAATATATATAGAGGGAGACAACAGTTTCAATACCCATTCTTCACTGAGTTACCGTAGACTCTACTAGTGTAATACATAGGCTAGCATAAACTTAGATCAAATTTTTAGCTTGAACCAAATTGGTGCTGCGAAAAGCAGTTTCATGCACCTTTCTTCTTGTGCGGGAAGAACGATGCCTATATTTCTCTACAGTGACAAAAATAACTTTGGTGCAAAGATGTTGCTTGCTCCCAGCAGACAATACCGCAAGCGGTGCGATGAGCATAAACCATCCTCGCCGTAGGTCTCTTCACTGGCGCAGCCAGCGGGTGTCAGCGGGTGACAGATCGCAAGGATGTAGTAATGTAGATCTAGAGCTCTGGGGGTGGGGGGTGGGGGGGGGGGGGGTGAAGGCCAGGGTTAGGTGGAGCGCTTGCACCAATGGCGCCCCGCCACTGGTTCATCATTTCCTTTGTACATATACCCCAGTCACTTCAGTTCTCTCTTTTGGTCCCTTAACACTTTGCCACCTTCTCTTGCCGATCGGCGATTTTACCATCCAGTGTTTTTGGATTTTCCCCAAAACGGCTTTGCCTTTGATACTATAGCAAGAGATTTTGCGATATATTATATGAGCCTTGTAATGGAAAAGTGTTAAACTTCCACAACTCTTCCCTTCAAAACGTGCAAAGTAATCAACAAAATGTTAATAACGGAAGAAAGTCTAGACAATTCACAACCCGATACATTTATTCATCAAATAAACAAAACAAAAGCCTTCAGAAAGCTTGTCTTTCTTCTTTTAGTTGTGTGTGTGTGTGTGTGTGTGTGTGTGTGTGTGTGTGTGTGTGTGCCTTCAGAAAGTTTGTCTTTCTTCTTTTAGTTGTGTGTGTGTGTGTGTGTGTGTGTGTGTGTGTGTGTGTGTGTGTGTGTGTTTGTGTGCCTTCAGAAAGTTTGTTTTTCTTCTTTCAGTTGTGTGGGTGTGTGCCTGGAGAAAGGCCCCAGTCGTTGGCAAAGCTTTGTTTTTAGCAACAGCGTGAAAGGTGAGAAAAAATTTGTTCCATCAGAAAACACACATTTAATTAGACTCCTATTTTTTTAATAACATGTTGAAAGTATTTGTATCACATTTGAAGACTAATTATTTTTTTACCTGGTACATGTAGATCTAGATCTAGTTATTTTTGCAAAATGTTGTACTTCAATAAAGGTAAAAAATATGTGCTAGAAAATGGGTTTTTCTCCAAAGTTATTTTTCTTCGAAGTCCTTTGTCGATAGTGACCCAAAAACCTAAAATAATATATTCTAGAAAAAGAACTACCCAATGTTTACAACTAAAAAATCACCGACCCATTCTCCGGGTCGTAAAACACCACACGTGAGTTGGCGACATAATTTGTGCTCAGCCACACGTTCACTGAACTGCCAACAAAACTCAGGTTTGTTTGTGAAAGTTTATTTGCTGTTTATTAATCTTCTCCCAATCAACTACTCCCAGGTCAGCCTTAGTGCTGCTACCATAATGACAGTAGATGGTACTACCTGCAGCTGTTCCTACTGCCTTGTAGGTGCATACGGGAATGTGAAAGACTAAGGGAGTAAACCCTAAACAAATCAGTAGGGAGGGGCCCTAAGGCAATCGACAGGGAAGAACGATCTGAACTATCTTCTGGCAGCCCCTGCAACTTACTGGTTCCAAATGTATTGACCTCGTCGCTCCTTTGGACTAAGTCTGCAAAGTCGAGAGAGGGTTCGTGCAAATTGGGCAAGGCACGTTCTCCATACTGTCAGGTCCAGGCATTTAGCTTAGTCAAGGAAGAATTGGCCTTGAAAAAAGCTGCATGAACACAACATTGAGACCATCTTAAGGTAAATTGACCGTCTGCATAGACGAAAAGAGCCATTCACATACATTTACTGTTATTTCTATCGTCCTCAGTTACTTGTCCTATTGGAGAATGATGAAGAAGAAGAAGAAGAACTTGTCCTATGATTATGATGTTCCCGACACTGGTCCACGCACCCTTCACCTGTCTGCCCAGTCGCTGATACAGCTGGCGCCTCGCTGTCAGAAAATGGGGGACCAGAGACAGTTTCCAACAGTTCGCAACAAGAACTGGGGATTTTTTTTCCCATGCTGTTTTTCACTATGACTTCGTTCAGTACTTTTGTACCATAGCTTTATGAGCATTGATGCTGTGTTACTGTTACTTGGACCTCATTGATGGGGAGAATATATATCTGCTACATCTATAGATACTATCTATAGATGTAGGCTGGTCGGAGGAAACCGTGAACATTTCACTGAACCTCGAACCGAGACATTAGCAAAAATAGTCGGTGAGATCAATTCTTGTTGATTTTGAGTTATAATGCATACCAGGGAATTCACCAACCATTTTAGAAAATAATTCTTGAACTGTTTCTTGTAGAACACACTGTAAATTTATTTCCAATTTGCTTTCACATATTCGGCTAGGGCCCATGGTCCTTTTTAAAAATCAAATATCTATCTCTCCTTCTTTTTTGTGTTTGTTACTCTCTTGCAACACCTCTGAACTTCAGCATTTATTGCGTTGCAAGTGCCGTAATATGTTTACCATAACAACAAATTTTATTATTTTCATTATAAAAACATTTGTTGCCAAATGATGCCTAGTAATTAACTGTAATGCTTATTTTGGTGAAATATTGTGTGACTTTTTAATAAACTTCAAGACAAAGGTGAACAAAGACTGTCTTGTGACCTATGTTTGAAAAAGAGCTGAGACTGAGAGTCTTCAAATTTAATTTCCCTTTCTCTCTCTCTCCAACCCCTTCTCTCTCTCTCTCTCTCTCTCTCTCTCTCTCTCCCCTCCCTCCCTCTCACCCTGTCTGTGAGTGTGTGCATATTATAATTATAATACATGTGTCATATTGTAAGATATAGCGAGTGTTTTACTGCCCCATTGGCACAATCTAGATCATGTAGGAGACGGGCCACTTCAACTCTGCCTCACAGGAATCGAACTCAGGTCTCCTGCATCCTTTGTTTTAGTAAGTGTTTTACGGCACTTGCAACACAATAAGGTCATGAAAGTGCCAAAGATTAGAGGTGCTACAAGAGAGTAACAAGCACAAAAAAGAATGAGGAGAGATAAGGGTGATAGATGTTTGATAGGAAAGAAGAAGCAAACCTAAGGATAATAGATCGAAATACCAAACCAGCTCCACCTAAGACGCCAGTCCAACAAGTCACGCAGTCTGTGGGCTTGTCATCCCTTTCAGCACTGTCAGGTTATTTCGGATTCAGTCGATTCAGAGGCAGGACTTCAGAATTTTACGTCTACTTCCGATAGGAATGAGTTCAGAGTCTTGAAATCTCTGCACAATGATCTGAGTTTAAGAACGCACGGCCTGGGATTCAAACCAGGGCTGTCCACTCCGTAGCCCAGCATGATACTAACTGACAGAGCCCAATCTGTTCCCGTGGTTTTATGCACCCTGCGTAATTTAGCAAAATTTGATCACATTTTTGCATAATTTCTGATGATTTTTTAAATTATTCTTTGTTAAAGGTAAAATTAACAGAATCGCATTTCACATTTTTGGGCTCAGCTAGCATAATTTCAGAATTTTTCTTGCATAAAACAACGGGGACAGCCCAATGGAGTATGGAGCTACCCGGTCTAACAGGGACTCTATGACAAGGATTTGTATTGTACTGTTTGTTTGAGTAAAGAGAAGCACATTGACACTATAACGGTCAATTAGTGCCTGAAAAAAGTAAGACAGACAGAGAGAAACAACAGAGGGAAAGTAAAGAAGTAGGACCTACCAATGACATGTTCCAACCACCCACAGAGTCTGACACACAGACAGAAACAACAGAGAGAAAGTAAAGAAGTAGGACCTACTAGCCGTTACCCTAGAAGTACAAAGTTCTGTCTGCTCGGTAGGCCTACCTAGTCTAGTTTTGAGAAATTTGATGTAAAAATTTTTGAGTTTCTCAACAAGTCAAGCTTTTTCGAATGTAATTCTTTAAATATCTCGACAAAGACTCCGAATAGTCTTACGATTTTGATAGAACAGCAGATAAAACATTTGGTTTCTGACCTCATAGTCTTAGTAACTCAAAATGGCCCAAAATGTTAGAACTTTGCAATTCTGAGGTAGCATAGTGTCGCCCTTCAACCACCCGCACTACTGCACAGACAGTGTACTGTTTGTGTCTGAGACAGCCTCGGTCTAGTACAGAAAAGCCAGAACAAAAACTTGTCAAAATGTGAACACGACGTTTAATTGATGAGATGCCTTCTCCGACAAGTGACGTCACTGGCACGGCTACAGTCACACGCACAGTCAGGTCATACCAAATCATTCCGTCAATCCCAATAGGCCTATACCAACTTGACCAAATCATTCCGTCAATCCCAATAATAATAAAATTACAGCAATTCAACTACATGTATCAGGTCCGTGTTAGAGTAAAAAACAATTTCATGTAGGACTTTTATTAACTTTTAAAAACAAAGCGTACCCCCCCCCCCCTCCAACATAGCCACACCCCCCCCCCCCCACTCTCTTACTCTTAGCCCCTTGATGACAAAGTAAACCAGAGCTGCCTACTTGATCATCTGTCTTCAATAGCACTACATGTAGTTGGTTCATCATGTCCGGAAAAAAGAAAAAAAATATCTTTAAAACTTTGAAAATAAAGTTAATTGTTGTATCCATAGAAAGTAATTGAAAAACCATAACATCTAGATCTTCAACTACAATATTATATCAACAACATTATGACTTCCTCTGTCAATTCCGTCCAAATTAGTTTGAAATGATTCTGACAACTACCAGCGGCCAGGGAATACCTAAAGGACATACATTGTACTAATCAAAGTCCAAATTGGCAAACCATATTGTGCGCCGTCGCCATGGCTACAGGAAATGTGAGGTGGTCGCCCCCTTTGTGAATCTCGAGTTGAGGATCTGAGACTTCTGAATGATGGACTTCCTCTGTGCGTCGTCGAATTGGTTGACCTGGAGGTCTGCGTCGCGGTCGAATGGTCTCCGGGCCGGTTTCTCCTCCTTGTCCCCTCTCTCCTTCCGTTTCTTCTTTTCTTTTTTCTCCTTTTTCTGCAGCATTGGAGGGGGTGGGGGTGGGGAATAAACGGGTTTTAAAAACATGTATGTGTAGTAACATAGTCATCATGTTTGTTACATAACAGAAAAGTCAAGAAATTGACGTAATACTTTTTTCTTATGAACTGAGAGAAACTTGATATCTTATCTCGTATAACAACGCTTTCATTAATATAAAAAATATTTAAGAATAGATCTAGTCCTTGAGAAAAAAACCCATTTCAAATTCAAAGAATACATGATCACTGCCAGACTTGTAAGAGAATGCATATGAATAATATGATATGATAATATAAATGTCACAGAAAAATGTGTAAAATTAACGTTTTCCAATTTTGTTTTATCTTACACATGAAAAAAACCCCAATGGGTCATTTTGCTCCAGAATTTCTACTTATGTAATCTCTCCAATAACTGGTGTGCTATTTATCAACACAGTGAGACAAGGGCCTCGTGGTACAGTACTGTGTACGTAATTATTTATTTTCTAGACTATCTCAAACTAATAAATGATTTAAAAAGTCATTCTCATTCTCGCACTTTCTGTCCGTCAGTGTCTCTCAATCTCACGCTCTGCCTCACTTTCTGTCTGTCAGTGTCTCTCAATCTCACGCTCTGCCTCACTTTCTGTCTGTCAGTGTCTCTCAATCTCACGCTCTGCCTCACTTTCTGTCTGTCAGTGTCTCTCAATCTCATGCTCTGCCTCACTTTCTGTCTGTCAGTGTCTCTCAATCTCACGCTCTGCCTCACTTTCTGTCTGTCAGTGTCTCTCAATCTCACGCTCTGCCTCACTTTCTGTCTGTCAGTGTCTCTCAATCTCACGCTCTGTCTCACTTTCTGTCTCTTTCTCTCCTGTTTGCCACTCTCTTCTCTTCTGCTCTCTCCAACTCTCTCTTTCTCTCAGTGTGTGTGCGTGACTGTGTGTGCAAGTATATCATGTATATATGTTTGTGTGTGTGAGTGCGCGAGACACGATGAAGGAGTGGGTGGGTGGGTACAATGGCACCCTCAAGTGAGCAAGCTTCCTTTACTGATCATTTCCTCGTCAGTCTATCTATCCCCTTGTCTGTCTGTCAGTCTATATCTATCCCCTTGTCTGTCTGTCAGTCTATCAATGTTTCTGCATCTATTTGCCAGTCTGTCCACATAAACTTTTTCGGTCTGTATACACTTTGTACAAGTATATGCACAAACGGCATTACCCAGTTTGTTACATACGTGCATATATGCAAACCGCATTACCTAGTTATAGTAGTATTAGTACATACGTAAATCGCATTATCTGGTACATATTGATATATATATATATATATATATATATATATATATATATATATATATATATGTGTACATGTATTCGAAAAAGATCTGGTGACAAAACCATGGGGCCAGAGTGATGACTAATTAATTAACTAATTCACCTTTTTCGAGCCATTCGACCATTTAATATTCCCAGAGATATTTGTAAAAATTTGTTACTAGTTTTGTATAATAAACACCAACAAGAAGATATAATCTATAGAGGAAGGTATGAAATTATACAATGAATAAAGAGGTATGAAATTATACACTTAATAAAATTCGGAGATAACTGCTTCAATTGACTGTATAATTACAGTGGAATCCACTTATAGCGAGTCCTGAAATAACGAGACGTCTGTTATACTCACGGGCGGTTTGTTAACTGGACAAGACCGGCGGTGCCGGTCAAATTTTTGTCAACTGGACAGTTGACAAGAGATTTATTGCTGATGATGATTTTCATTCAGTTTTAAGTAAATCCAAACAAACATGTATCAACAGTCAAAAAGCGCCTCGCCGATTTGAAGGCGTTCAAATAGACAAGTGATTCACAGCTGTTTTGTCGCGTTTGTTTATCACGCCGGCTCACAACTGTTACAGTTAAATCGTCTCCTGTCACGTCGCGGAACTTCGTACGAGGACAAACCGAACACGGCTCGTTCAGCGATGACGTCAGTCCGCTGGGCAAATCCATCGACAGTCTACAGAGGGAATAGAACATCCCTTAATTGCCAAATTGGCCTCTGTGTTGCTTACAAAATTAAGAATGAGACTGTCTTGAGCAGCACGGACACATGTATTATTTTATCAGCAATACATGTATTTATCATTTACCAAGTTCTATAATTAGCGTTTGGCACACTTCCCCACTTTGTTACAACAGTGTTCTGTTCTGAGAACTGAGAAGTGCAATGAAGAACGTTTGATGATATAATGATTGGAAACTGTTGTGTGCTAACTTTGTCCAGCTTTGTATAGTATCTGATTGTAGACTTGATCTGCATGGGACAGCGTCACTGGTACAGTATCAATTGACTTTTTGTCATCATACACTTTCAGTTTGTTTTCTAGGATAGTTGTGTTTCTTTTTCTGTGCCGATCAAGTCAGTTTCTATTAGTCTCAGTAACTTCCATCGTACGTTATTCGTAGCTTTGTTTCTTGACACTACCATATTTTAGCTCTTTAACATTATATTATAATGTTTACAATGGTGTGTGTGTTTGGGAGGGGGTGGGGATGGCGAAAGTAGGGGGAAAATGAGGAGAGAGGAGAGAGAGAGAGAGAGAGAGAGAGAGAGAGAGAGAGAGAG